TACTTTGTCATACTGCATAATATCAGAACTGTCATAATCAGATTCAGATTTAACATCCTGCTGGTATGTCTGATTTACGATGCAACTCTGTTTTCAAAACACGTGTAAGTGAAAATAAATTTAGAGCAAAAGTACTTATTATTTTGTTTGCAATATACAATATACTAGAATGAAGTAAAATTAATGTCATAAAAATAATTTCTCTCGGGATAAAGAAATAGGGAAACGTGTTGGTTCCAACTCCCCTCTTACGAATGTACGTAACTGCTTCAGATTTAGGAGGTTAGGTTTCGGGTAAATGTCTAGGATTTTCGGTGTTAATCTCATCTAAAATAACGGATTTTGATCACAAATTACGTATTAAATGAAATTTATTTGTTCATAATGGCATGACGGAAGCCTCATTCTGTGCATTCAAATCGTTATACACAGCGGAAAAGAATACTAGAATTTGGTCAATTATTGGTACAGAACGCGCGCTACGTAAACACGTAGTAAAAACTTGCGTACCGCTAGGCTGCCCTCTATGGGTCGTCTCTTTTACCGCCTCTCGGTAATACCGTTATGCCTGCATTTTTCCCCCCTCCTGTCTTCTGTATATTCCAAACTTTCCGATTCAAAGACGAAGGGGCTGATTTGCAATGCGACGTAAGAAAAGCTTATTTCGAGAATATAAACTCATTATGCGTTTGCACGACCATTCCTTCAAAACGAAATAATACAGGCTGTTCACGGAGATTCATAGTGCTCAGTAATCTTTTCTCGTAAATGACGGATGGAAGACAAAATTATACTGTTTTTTTATATGCAATATATATATATGCATTATATCAGTACTAAATTGAAATATTTTTAATTATTACATGTAATTAAATATATTGATGATTAATATTATATTATTGTATGTAATTATATACAATGATGCATTGAAACATTTTCTAGTTATACTCTTTTTTAGAGAATTGAAGGAGATTTTCAATTTTCTAAATGTAATGCTATATATACATTTTTTGACATAAGTATATACAATATACACAATAGTATATATACAATGTAATATATACAATGTAATACATTACAAATGTTATATACAATATGATACATTACAAATTATTACAAATTATATACAATGTAACACACACACACACGCATATGTAATTTTACATTATATAAAAGCGAATTCAACGATGTAGATTTTCTATATTTTTGTAGATTTTTTTGTATTGTCTCTTAACCTTGGTGTCCTTAACCTCTTCACGTGCCTCCTCATTTTTCGTTAAGAATGAAAACATAAAGTTGGAAGGTGTGTAATAATCTATTGTCCCGCTGTCTCGTTTCAGACGCTAAAATGAGATTGGAGGAAGATCTCGTGATACGCAGGAGTCGACCAACGATGATTTCCGCCAAATATCGCGCGAGGGAAGAGCGCCGCCGCTTGCTGAAGATCTCAGCCGGCAAGTTGAGAAGGATCGAAGACCCAGAAGCTAGCCTGTGCAGATCAGTCCTCATAAACAACGCCGTCAGGCGATTGCAACGCGAGAATCGGGACGAAAAGACGAGGAATTACGGGCTGCCGGTGGTCACGTATCTGAACGACTCCACCAAAGAGAATAATGTCTCTAGTAATCTTATCGTCGGAGTGACGGACGACGAGACCTCCTCAAGAAAAAGGTAAGCGAGATCCTTTGATCGGTGTAATTTCTGAAATGCCCAAATGTGCATCACAATCAGCATAATAATTCAGCACTTTTTTTTTCTCTTTTTTTCCAATAGTTAACATTTTTTTCAACTGTCCATCAGAGAAATATTCAAAAAAATTTATTTATTTTACCGGGCAACGGTCGTTACATCATGAAAAACTGATTTATAAATTGAATGCAAAATTTAATGGAAGTAAATAACTAGCTGGTGGTTGGTACTTGGAAACAAACAAAATGAGAAGCACAACGAAGATAAGACAGAAAGCGAGTGAAACGAGCAGTGTGGAAAGTAAGATAGCGATTGAGGTTAGGTAATAAGAGATTGAAGCACAGACTTTTTGAACTGATTGTAGAACCGGATGTAACAAGTCAGTTCGATCTGAAACCATACTTGAACAAGCAGCAAGTTCCAGTAATCGGATTGCTCGAGAAATATATTATTAAAACTATTCCACGGGTATTTAGATTTATGCAAAGAAAACTGGACACTGGCATCAAAGTACACGATTTTTGGATAAAAAAAGAGTATATCTGCTGTCAGTCTTCCAAAGTAAGCACGTTTGAACGTATTGAAGTACAGGTTCAACGTGATTACGGATCAAATTTGCGCATTTGAATGTGCGTTGTCCGTTAAATGGCAACTCTGACGTAAGCACGTCGGCATTTAATCATATCTCGTTCGAAACAATAACGTTTGTAGGTGAGAGAACACAGAGGTATATATACATATACAGGGTGTTCCCAAAATCGTGGTACAACCGATAGACTGTAATTTTACAACCTTTCAAAATAAGTAACAACTTTTTATATATAGT